TGTTGTAGATATTTGTTTACTTCCAGAAAAACTCTGGGAATTAGCTTCTACAGACATCATGCAATGTTCATTTTAACATTTCTACCTACCTTTTGTATTATACACACTACAAACAGCAATAGGGAGTCATTTTACCTCATTCCAACAAATATATTGGGTGAAAAATACATAAAATGGAGAATAAGTTCAAATTTACCTTTTAGAGGAGGATATAAAATTTTCTAGCCCAGAGACTTTATGAAACTCATAACAATAGCAGGGAGATCCAGTGTTCAAAATATCTCTTCCTCAAGTTGTGAATTGCTTTCAGTAGGTTGCAGTCATTCAGAATTTCCCACTTTGTTACATCCCATTTTTGGCACTTGTCACAGTCAATTCCCTGCCTTATCCTGAGCTTTCAATTGTTCATCCCCAGACTTGGTATATACAATCTACACCTCCTTAGCTATATTTTATACACTAGAGCTTAGTTCTCAAAATGTTTGATTCTTGTGTTATAGCACCAACTTTGTCCAAAAAATGATCGGACAATCTTTTTGCCCAGTTAGTGTAAATCATGTATAATAAACCACTAATGACAACGGTGCCAATGTGACGTTAACAATGCAGGAGGTCACTTCATGAAGCGTTGGGTTGTTCAGTGGAATACAAAATTCCGACGAAGATTGCGCCGGAAGCAATGCTCATCGACATCAAGGCGAGGGTGAAATATAGGCGAATTATACAGGGAAAGTTGGTGAAACAATACAGAGCTGTGGTGGGGATCCACAGCCCAACGGGGGCAATTGATGTAACTATGGTGAGGACAAAGCTAAGCAAAAGGCCGAAGCAGGATAAAAAGCTAATCCTCTTGACTGTGACGGCAAAGGAATAAGCGATGCATATAATGTGATGAATGTCCACTCACAAAGTTGGGCTATTCTTTGAGAAAACATAGTTTCGGACAGAGATTCTGTCGCAATTCAGAAAAGAGGGATGAAGCCAACACGAATGAGCGCCGAGGACGCCGCCTGTCCAAGGGACCTAAAGAGGTGTAACACGGAACCCCAAGCTGTGATTGTAATTGACATCGCGTTAAGAAAGCGAGACGTAAAGGCAACACAGACAAGCACGGATCGCCGAATTAGTCTCAAAAAGCTCTGCATGGGATTGAAAGTTGCGGATATGCCTCCAAATGTTGTAAAGCAGCACAGCAGGGTTTTACAGCTGATGAAATGGATATAGTCAAGAGAAGGGGGCAAAGGTAGCTCCGTGGGTGGCTTTTTGGGGACCCAGTTCCAAAGAAGGACAAGAAAGTACCCAGAAATGATCATAGTGGAAGAGGTTATAAGTGTTACTACAAGAAAGGTCGTTCCTGTACACTGGGTGAGAGAGATAGCTTGATACTTGCCATGTCACAAACCTGAATAGAGAGAAGGCTGATAGTTGGTCTGGAAGACGGACGGCCAAGCATAGGCAGCTTCATCTTGGTACATTTCAAGACAGTATGTTCTACCAAAACATGAGGACTTTCTACTTTGCTTGAGAGGAAGAGAGAGCTACTCACAAAGATGAAAATACAATTGTGAAGACCCAGTCAAGAGTGTTGGCTGGCATGGGGAGCCCACGATAAGTGACAATCGCCTTTGACACGCTGAAACATACAACAGAAATAGTAACGAAAATCCTGTTTCCCGTGACGATTGGTGTTTCCAAAGCCAGCCGTTCATTTGTAGGATCCAAAGTTATCCTGCGTAGATTGTGGGGAAAGTGCTGTGACTTCGTGTTGAAGAACCATTCCAACTATTTGGCTTTTGGTTCATGAGACTTGTACCATCCAATCATGTAGAACCTACATATGTCAGATGCGTAGAATTGGGTTGTGAGAAGAGGACTTACAAGAGGAAGATGATGACACTACCGACCCATTCTAGGGTGGTGGGCACGATAGTTACACTGCTGGAAGCTGTCACAGCTTTTGCAATGCCAAAACTGATTATTATTACAAGGAAAAGAACATCATAGGGCGTGATTGGTGGCCAAGGGAATCCGCTGGAATGAATCCCTATGTGAAGTGATGTATCAGCCTGGGACGGTTGGACTTCCATGCTCTGTCCAGTCGAGCGAGGGCTTAAGCTTGAGCTTTAAGTCCAACCAGAGAATGGATGAGAAAGATGAGTGCTGAGTGCTGAGTACTGAGCACTGAGCACTTGGGAGTTGGCGCTTGCACTTGGTTGGTCAAAGATGCACACAGACCACCCGTCGCCACATGCTTTCTAACGGCTTTCGTCTCTGCGCAAGGCCCAATGCCAGGCAGTATGCCTCCATCGTGATTCCCTCCCTGTCTGCCGATAGACATGCCAGCGGCAAGTTTTCCGACATATAGGACATTCCCATGAAACCCATGATTCCCATGCCCTCGTTTGAGCGTTGAGACACCTTTCGACAACTCGGGCCACGCAGACCAAGGCACTGACGTTGAAGAAGAGCTAGAAACAGCTTTCTCTACTCATTCTTAAATGGGCTCAACAAGGATTCAGTCGGAGTCGGCGACGAGGCCAAGCCTCGTGTCAACAAAACATCAGGAAGTGAGATTACCATTCGTCTCCCTTCCATTTCTCTGTGTCTTTCTCTGTCCCTCTTCAGCCACTTGTCTTCTCTTTTTTTGCTTGCTCCAAGCCTGTTATCTCTCTTGTGACCCTTATTGCCAGAAGGTGTACCGTGTATCTGTCTGTCTTCAGCTCCAATTTCATGACCTCACCTCATCTCACCCGAGCGCATATACTGAGCAATACAATTTCCAGGAATGCAAATTGGGTGCACCAATGTGTCTATGCTTCCCACCATTGTGCTGGGCACTTCTATGAAGAGGGATAGTGCAAAGATCGTGAAGGGAGCATGCGCCAGAGGATTATTGTGTGGAGGGAGAACGAGAGTAATATGTCGATCATTGTGAGGATTGTGGACATCCCGATTCGAGATGTGTGTTCGCGATTGTGTGAGGGGGACAGCTGGTGAGTGGGAATTCATGCTGTTCTTTTTATTACTTTGCTCATGTATATCCGGCATGTACACTTGTAACCATTCCCCCTTGTCAGAATGTTGTAAAGAACTGTTTTAAATTTCGGCAAATGATCAAGTGAGATACGCAGCTGCTAGTCCAACAATTTCCACCTTGATCCTTCTTTCACTGCATCTGAGCAGGGTGCCCTTCCAAAAAATTGATATCTTCATCAAGGTGGAGAGAAGAAACCACTTGGATCATTTCCATTTACTATCCATCTGGCAATCGAACTGAACTTTTGCGCGAACAATCATAATTTTTGTAGAGGGATCGAGGTGAGAGGAATTTTTTTGGGGTTGGATAAGTGGTTTTCAGGTCTGCGTGATGATCGTGAAAGTCTTGTGAAAGTCAGTTAAGTTGTTGTCATTTCAATTAATTCTAAAATGCAAATATACACTAACTGATCAAAAGTAATGTCACATGATTTTTTGGACAAAGTTGGTGCTATAACACAAGAACCAGACATTTTAAGAACTAAACTCTGGTGCATGAAACATAGCTAAAGAGGTGTAGATTGCATATACCAAGTCTGGGGATGAACAAATAAAAACTCAGGATAAGGCAGGGCATTGACTGTGACAACTCCCAAAAATGGGATGTGACAAAGTGAGAAATTCTGAATGACTGCAACCTACTGGAAGCAATTAACAACTTGAGGAAGAGATATTTTGAAAACTGGATCTCCCTACTATTGTTATGAGCTTCATAAAGTCTTTGGGCTAGAAAATTCTATATCCTCCCCTAAAAGGTAAATTCGAACTTGTTGTCAATTTATGTATTTTTCACTTAATATATTTGTTGGAATGAGGTAAAATGACTCCCTATCAATGTTTGTAGTGTGTATAATACAAAGGTAGGTAGAAATGTTAAAATGAACATTGCATAATGTCTGTAGAAGCTAATTTCCAGAGTTTTCTGGAGGTAAACAAGTATCTACAGCAGTGGTCCTTCTTTTCTGCAAGAAGAAAAAATGCTACCATACTTTTGAGTTAATCCATGGAGACTTGGGATGTCTTTCAAACAATGCCTGAAGTATAGCATG